GAGCCACTTTTGAGAGAATCCTCTTAACATTGCTCAGACCGTAAACGTACCATACTTAATGAAAAAAAGGTCATGTTAGAACCAATATTTTTTATGACTCGAGATCCACTGCGAAGCCACTGACACACTCACATGGTAAAATTTTAAGTTTAATCGGAGGATATATCTTTCATTGCGTAATTACACGTTATGTGATGGAAGCCAACGAAAGTATGGGTTACACTCCCAAATATATGACGGAATCTCTCTACTCCACACGGACTATATTTTGATGCCTGTATTTATTGGCTTCCAATAGTCTTCAAACTTGAAAGTGACTACATGACACCCAAGTAAGAATATACTTTTCATTGTGTGGAAAATATGCTCGGGTACATAAAATTTCACAATAGCATGACGACTATTATGCTTAACTCAACGAAAATGGTTGAGCCGACTCGAAGTTTTTTCGAGTTGGAGCTTGGCTTGAGTCTTGTCACCATAAAAGTAGGAGTGTGCTATCTATACATCATATTTTACTTCTTATTCGCTTTGATAATTTTTATCTATTGATTTTTTCAATTCATCCGATTCGACGGTTAAGAATTAAAAAGATGTGTGAGAAGTAAAATAGGATTTGTGGATATCACATCACTAAAAGTAAGAGGTTGATTGGGTGATCGAGGAGCAATGTAAGATCCGAGTAATCATGGGTTGATCCGGATCCAATAGATGCTCCGCGAAGAGCCGATAGGGTGAGAGCCGAGCTGCCGTAGTCGACTCCATCGGCTTGCACGTTGACTTGGTGGATTCATCATTGGAAAACGCGACGACACGTGTCCAAAAGTGGAGGTAGGATTCGGTGCGGAAGACATTAACGTATTCTTCTGTTACATCCATTCCCATTGAAGTAGTTGATGCCATAGGCCTAGATTCTCAATCAAAATAGTGAACCAAAATTGTTATAGGAACTTCGAAATGATTAATTATTTGTGTTTGATGTGCTAATAACAATTCCCGAAAGATTACCAGTACATGGATGCATGTACTTATTATTTTCCCCGTTTTACTTCTTTAAAATGTGGATCTGAATGATGTAATAAGCTTGTGACTTAAGTGATTAAGAATGTTTATTTGTGCACTCAGAGTCATATTTTCGAATATACCTCCCCGATATTTGCTTGTACGAAATGCTGCAAACAACGCTAGCAAATTACACGAAGGAAAGGGAAGTGAGAAAGGAGAGGGATTTTGTATAGCCCAACACAATTTTCGTTTTGGTTATTGCTTGTAATAAACATAGGCGAGGTGATAAGGGTGTGTAGACTTTCAATCCGGGCGAAGGCTCATAAGAATTGTTTGGAAGCTTAGCAACAATAATAAATTGTGTACAATTTTATTCTAATTCTTGCTCTTACAACAATTAGTGTCCTCCTTCCAATCTTCACTCAAATTATTTGGCATGTACGTAATTTTTTTTGTTTTTCTTCTATCAATTGAGACAAAAATACATACTTGAGACTACTGGTGGACTCGGAAAACTGAAAACCGAAAAAAAGGGATTGGATATCGAATTGAAACCAAAAAAATCGAACGGGAAATAAAGGAACCTAAACGAAAACTATTGGTCCGATTTCAATTTTGGTGGTTCAAAATGGAACATAAATGAATCAATCTGAACTGAATGAATATAAATTAATATTTTATGTATTTATTTATGTAGAGGGTTCATTTCCAACCTAGATTCCAATTCAACTATGAGCCTCATTTCAATTCAAGGTTAAGGAAACCTAACTTAAAGCCCAAATATGTTGAAAGCCTTATTCCCTATATTTTTTTTCTTCATTTTCTCTTCAATTTCTAAGCTAAAAAGAAAAAGAAATTTTTGAAAAAATAAATGAACCGAACCAAAAAAATCAAACCTATTGAAGTACAAATTGCGAACTGAACCAAACCGAATAATAATATTTTCAATTTGATTTTTGGTTTTGGCGAAAAACCAAACTAAATAAATTATTCGGATATATTATTTTTGTTTTAAAAAGGAAAATTTCGTTGTTAAAAAAAAAGAAAAAGAAGTAAAATTCCATATTGTATAAAAAGAGGAAAAAAAAAAAAGGAATATTCCATACCTGCATCCATCGCCCTATGTATGCCTAGATGCCAATATGATGCCCTATTTTAGCGTGTTGAGTCCGCGTCGGGTATTTCTCTATTGTGACAAGAAAAAATATCTTGTTCTCTGGTACAAGCCAACTCTAAATAAACTGTAACATATACTAAAAAGTGTATCAGCGATGTGATTAATAACTTTTACATTCGTAACAACAAAGTAAAAAAACTTGAATTCATCGACATTCGAAACGAGTCCAGCTCCATTAGAACCCAATCAGACGTTACATCGGCCTTTTTTTTTAAAAAGTTGGGAACGCAATTCGTTACACCAAATATCATGATACAAATTGATTGAAATTTTTTTTCCCAAATAATTGCATTATTACATTTGATATATCGATTAATATTCTCGGTGCACTAAAAATCCCTCTTTTGCCAAAATAGTTAATGATGGACTAACCTATTGATTTGATTCGTCTCTTTTTGGTTGTGCTGCATATATGCACAACGCACCCATACGATCCTGATGCTCCGACTTATTCTGTGATCCAATCACACGTTTCTCACACGCATGTTAAAAAAAGGCACAATTATCCTGACGCACTCGGCTTACCTGGTCACGCACATTTTGTCGATAACGTATGCATTTTCGACTTGGACAGCCTTTATGCCTCATTCGATTTAGATAATTTCAATTTAAACCACGTATTATTTCCATTCCATTTTTCTCGATGCAACCAAAAAAAAAAAAAAAAACATGCAATTAATTAAAAAGCATGGCCCTGCATGCAAGCCACGCCTCAACTATCAAGTCTAAAAGACGCTCGAAACATCGGAAAACAACAAAACAACCTAGAAGTCATCACCGTCGTCGCCGTCGTACACATCATCCTCCACTTTCTCAGCCACGTCATCCGCAATTTTGTCCTCCACGTAATCAAACCCCTCCGCCAATGCCACCCCACCCACCGCCCCAGCCACCGCGCCTACCGCCAGTCCCGTCCCCATCCCCCCAAACTTGCTCTTCTTCTCCTCCTGTCCGTACGCCCCCTGTCCGTACGCCCCCTGTCCGTAGCCCTGCCCCGGCCGTCCGTAACTCCCTTGTCCCATCTGACCGTAGGGAGCTGGCTGACCGTACGGCGGCGCGGGAGCAGCACTGTATTGGTTATACGGGTACCCAGAAGGCGGAGGAGCCGCGTAGTAAGGATTTTGCGGCGGCGGAGGTGCAGGTACGCCGTACGGTGCCCCATAAGCCGTTGGCGGAGCGGTATAGTCCCGAGAGCCAGCTGGCGGCGGGACACCATAAGGAGGAGCGTTGTACGGTTCCGGCGCACGATAGCGCGGCTCCCTGATCGTAACCTTAACGTCAACCTTCCCCTGGGGCCTACCGGATGGTCGCTTGAGCTGGAGTGTGCGGCTGGCGGGCTCGTCGAAGCCCCCGTCATCGATGACATCCCGGAGCTTGAGCCGGGCCGACCCAATCAAGGGCTTGGTATCCGGGTCGGATCCGGCATGCACGATGTCGATGTGGAGAGTGGTGTCGCCATCAACGGGGCCCGGTAAGTGGATGGTGAGGGTCTCGTCCCAGTAGGGTGACGTGTCGCCCTCCTCATCGACGCGAGTGGAGCTTTTGTTATTGGGGTCCACCCAAACGACGGCGTAGGGCTTCAAGGCGCCGTTTCGCCAGTTGACGTTCTTGAGGTCGCTGGCGGAGGTGAGCTTCAGTTGGACTTCGTGACCGGACGCCATTGATCGGATATAAGAGTTTTTTCGGAATGTTTTGCGGGTTGCGTATCGGAATGGACGGTTGTATTTATAGGCCGTCAAGGGGAGAATATTTCAGATGCGAAAGTACCATTCTGCCCTTGTGAATTGTTATTACCGTTTATAGTGGGAGGGTATATTAGTAAACGAAAAAATGAGGGCAGGTTTAAGTATTTATCCGGGGAAGAATTTAATACCACTAGATTTGACCGTGATCGTAATAGAAAGAATTGGATCCTTTCCGAGGCCACGCCTCGGGATCCTACTGACCAGACATCATGTATCGTTAGATTTTGATTCAACATCTACAATTATTATAACTTTAGAGGGACCACCTGTTTATAGCCGTTGGATCAAAATCCAACGGTCCATGTTGTCCTGTCAGTAGGATCTTGAGGCATTATCTCGGAGAGGATCCAATTCCGTAATAGAAACCGATACCAAATAGTCATGTAACAAAATTAAATATACGTTCGTACGTTATTGGCTTGAAACATCCATTTAGTAGTTGGGATTTCATATGGTACTCCGAATATATAATACTCTTTAATTATTAATTTTTTAATTAAAATATACAAAATAGAAGATTTAATAATTAACAAAAAAACTTGAAATATAAGATGCTCTGTAGCATCATAAAACTTTTACTAAGCAGAGGCAAAGTTGAGGGAAATATATCATCTTCGGATCTCTTTCATCAAAGTTTGCAGATTAAGTGATCCAGACATTTGAAATTTGATCCAACAAGTAAAGGTATTATAACTTTTAAAAGAACTCCTTGTTTTAACTGTTGAATCAAATTTTAAAAGCTCAAATTATTTGATTCATAAATTTTAGTTGAAAAGATCTGGAAAGAATCCCTTTTCAAAGTTGAGAGATGGCACTTGGTGGATACGATGTGTTTTGTCGAGAATTTTCCAGATGCTTCAAGACTTCACATTGACTCAGATAGCCTTCCGGATGTTACATTTAATTGGGCCCCATCTTTGCCCAGCCCAAACCAGTATTCGGCCCATCAGAACGAAAAAGCTTACAGTCAAGTCCATTCGTGGGCCGAACAAAAGTTAATATCGAAAAATTGCTTGGGCCATTTAATAATTACCGCAGTTACCGCACAGTAGGGACGGTAATTTCCAACGCCAAAACCCTAAACCCTAAAACGCAGACATTATATAAGAGCCTTCAGGCTCTCACGGAAACTCACCGCGCCTCTTCTCTCTTTTTTTGATAAACCCTAGCAACCAGGTTCCTTCCCTCAGCTCTCTGTACACTCGCAGCGATGGCTCCTCCTCGAGGTAATGGAGAAAAAGAGCTTTACCCCTCTTAATATTTATCGTTTGTTTCTTTATAACTTGTATGAAAGTATGCATTTTTATTTGGGTTTTCGGATATCTGGATGTTCTGATTTTTGTTCTTCATTTTCTGCTGAAAACATTGTCGATTTTTGTTCTTGGGTTTATTTTTTGGGGACAAAATCGCATGAAAGTTTAGTTCTTTACCATTTACCTTCGTTTTTATGCGCAGTTTCTGTGTTGTTTTTACTTTGTGTTTAAGGTTGTTTAGATATTTTAGCAGAAGTTAATGTAATTTGTGTTTTGGTTAATTTGATTTCGAAAAAAGAATTTGAAATTTCAGTGCTTTACTGTTCTGCGTCGATTTGATGGGTACTTTCTATGTTGTTTTACTTTTTGTGTTTAAGATTTTTGTTAGATTTGGAAGGAGTCCTTAGAAGTTGTTGTGTTTTGTGCAGGTCGTGGCGGTAGTGGTGGATTCAGGGGTGGCAGAGGTGACAGAGGTGGAAGAAGTGGAGGTAGGTCCGGTGGTGGTGGGGGTAGAGGCTTTGACAGAGGTGGTAGTGGCTTTAAGCCCCGTGGTGGGCGTAGTGATCGCGGAGGCGGTCGTGGAAGAGGACGTGGCGGGAGAGGTGGAATGAAGGGTGGTAACAAAGTTGTGGTTGAGCCTCACAGACATGAAGGTGTTTTCATTGGTAAGGGTAAGGAAGATGCTCTTGTTACTAAGAATCTTGTTCCCGGTGAAGCTGTCTACAATGAGAAGAGGATTTCTGTTCAGGTGTGTTTCGTCCATTTGCTGAACTTATTATAATATCTGCTCTGTATCCGTATAATCAAGGATTTAAGCGTTTGTACCTGCAAAAGTATCCGTTTAATTAAGTATCTAGACTAATTGCTTGTGATTTTTATTGTATTTCTTGTTATTGTGGTTTGTGAATATAGTCAATAGTCACCTTCTGAATGTGTTTTTCTTCTTTCAGAATGAGGATGGAACAAAGGTTGAATATAGAATTTGGAACCCTTTCCGTTCCAAGTTGGCTGCAGCCATTCTCGGTGGCGTTGATAATATATGGATTGTAAGTCTTGATTTCATGTTTTCTTGCTTTTTGTTTGATCTTTATTGTCCATCTTTGATTATTTATCTCTCTTTGTTTCTGTGTGTTTAATGTAGAAACCTGGTGCTAAAGTTCTCTACCTCGGGGCTGCTTCTGGTACAACAGTCTCTCATGTGTCTGACATTGTTGGCCCTGTAAGTTTTCTTTCTGAGATTGGTTCTTCAAGCTCTTTTTTTTCCCTCCGAGCCTAGGTTCTTAGAACTAAACTGCGTATTGTTTTTGTAGACTGGAGTTGTCTATGCAGTTGAGTTCTCTCATAGAAGTGGCAGAGACTTGGTAAATATGGCGAAGAAGCGCACAAATGTCATACCCATTATTGAAGATGCCAGACATCCAGCTAAATACCGTATGCTTGTTGGCATGGTTGATGTGATATTCTCTGATGTTGCACAACCTGATCAGGTTTGTTTCTTGCCCTTCATGTCTTTGCTAGTAAAAGAATCTCTTTTTGCCAATAGTCTTTTTCTTATGGGTTATGAAATATCAAGGATTTTCAAAGTGATTACCTGAGTTTGAATTTGTGTTATTTGAAAATCATAACCACTTTGTGTCATTTTTTTATATTCTTTCGCATATGATGAGATATACTCGGATTCCCCTTCACGACAGCATGAATGATGTGAACTCGAGTTTCTGATGCTTACATCGTTCTGTATTGAAATCAAACTAGTTATTTTCTCTTGTTCCGTAAATTCTGTTAGTATTTGTTTATGTTTATTCGTTCTTTCAAGTTCTAATGTCTTTTGTTGTACTCGTTCTGATTCTGGTTCTCTATACTGGATATTTTTTGTGCAATAAAACTTTCAGATGTCATAATTTGGTTTTTTTTTCTTCTTCTAATTTTATTTGTAGTGTCATTTTTCATAATTGTATTTCTAAAAGTTTTTTTTCCTTCCTGCAATATATTGAGCATGTGACGAACAACTCGGATTCCCCTTCAAGACAATTATGGGTGATGCAAAGACCGAGTTTCTGATGCTCCTACATATTTGATTTTTGTAGTTCAGTTTTTTTCCTAATGATTTCACCTCACCTCTCCCCTTTTCTCCTCTACTCTTTCATTCTCTGGTGTTGCTGGTAGCCTTACCACCAGTGTTTCCGACTGTGTTGGTGTTGGTGTATTTGGCCGAAGTCCTTGAAGGCATGGCCATAATTAGCCTTTCAAATGTTAATTGCTTCTGAATCATGTTCACTCTGTCAAATTATCTCTGCAGGCTAGGATTGTTGCATTGAATGCATCATATTTTCTGAAAGCTGGAGGCCACTTTGTTATCTCAATCAAGGTTTGTATTTAGGGTAGACCTTATCAGACACGAGGTCCCTTTTGCTTGCGGCGTAAATTAGATGGTTGGAAATTTTCGTTTTGGCCCGCTCATGGTTTGGTAACTAAAATCTGTTTTTCAGGCCAATTGCATTGATTCAACGTCACCTGCGGAAGCAGTGTTCCAATCAGAGGTCAAGAAGCTTCAGGCAGAGCAGTTTAAGCCTGCAGAACAAGTCACACTTGAACCTTTTGAGCGCGACCATGCTTGCGTGGTTGGAGGCTATCGTATGCCAAAGAAGTCGAAAGCTGGTGATGCCTAGAAATTGTCCAGCATCCTATCCATGATCTGCCTTTCTTGAGGAGGAAGAATGATCTAATTATAAGTTTTAGAAATGTAAACGTGACGGTGTTCTTCCCTTTTATTTTACCCGGTTGCTGGTTAGAGTTGTCCTTCTATGTACTAGTTCTGAACCGGTGAAACGTTGTAGACATTTTTGTTTTTATATAAGAGTTTAATTTCGTTTTGATTATTTAGTGCATTTCATTCCCTTTTAAAGTTCACAATTGTTGAAGAGAAAAAAAAAAAACTTGGAACAGAGCAGAACAACAAGTACACCTAATTGTGAGATCGAGTCGACCTCGAAGCAAAGCTTTGGTCGGCATTCGATTCAAATGAGTTTATAGGACGTGAAGGTTAAACCCTTGCAGATTGCAACTGCAACTGCAGGGTTTCGCGTGATCGCATCACTACGGCTGTTGCTCCGGTTGCATACTTGTAGGGATGCCAGGCCCGCTTTCTCAGCTCTTTCTGCGGCTGTTGCTCCGGCTGCATACTCGTAGGGATGCCAGGTCTGCTTTCTCAGCCTCTTTCTTGAGCCTTCTTTCGAGTGCTTTACCTCCGTTCATAGCATGACATGATCAGTTTTATAGTCTATGCTGCGAAACAAACTACTGAAATGTGTCTCCACCCGATGCCCCTCTTCTTTTTTCTGAACAATTATCCGTTCGTGTTGGATATAGTCACCGTCTTTATTACATTGTTTCTCTTGACGGGAAAACATTTTGTACCCCGTTTAAGCTGCGCATACGATTGGGATAGTCTGTCACGTTGGCTAAACGACATTTAATTTGTTTACCTGGACAAATAATAACGTCGTAACCAAATAAAGCATGGAAAGAATCTGCAAGATGTCGTGTGCGTTAGTAGATGTCGAGTCCTCGTTGAAAAGGTGAATGCAAGCTAAGCTTCAATCTGGATTAGGCAGAGTACATAGGGCATCTTGTAGAGGGGGGAATATAGTGTGTTTAGGTTGAACTGAAGCATATTGAGAGCTTTGAGCAGTCATCACAATAGATTTTTAAGTCCTGGACACAAATTGAGAATGGATCTGCAACTCCTATTGAATTTCAATTGATGAGGAGGTCGAATTCTCAAGTCATTTGAGGTGAGTAAAGAAATTTACGAGTTTTTATCTACCTGATCGGTATGATATTAATTACAAAATGAACACATTAGATTTTTCATTAAGCTTGTCATTCGATTATGGTGTCTGAATGATTAGATTAACTTATATGATATGCAATGCCTTTTTGAGTTTCGACTCACCTGCTAGGGCAGGAGGCCGACAGGTTTGACAGCCAGATTCCGGCATTTAAAGAGTAATTTGATGGGTGAGTTCTTTCTTGGTAAATCATATTTAGAAAATTGATTATGAAAACGAGTTTGTAGCTAGAGTTCCGCCCCTACTTCCTCGAAAATCTTGAAAGGGAATCCCGAAATTTGTTTTTGGGTACTACTTTTCTCTCTTACGAGTTATGTATTGTAACTTACGTGCTATTCTATATCCCTGTGAATCTAGGAGCTTTTATTGCTTGATTTTACCTCACGCTTACGCGTGGTTTGTCTAAGTCGATAACTGAACCCACTTTTTGAATCTCTTGCATGAAGTTGTGTATAGTTTTACTTTCTTGCTGTTTCAGTCTCGGGGGCACATTACCAACTAGTTCTTACTGACTGAGATGGATAGAGATTTGCAATCCCTTCGGGATACCTTTGCTACATTGCAGAGCCTACTTGAAGCCCCTGCAGGAGCAGAACAAATTGACCTCAATGTACCTAGAGAAACAAACGGGCCAATCTTCGATACCCCCTTTTATATTGGAGATTCTGGCTCCTCCTCCTTATCAAGTAACTTATCTTTGCACGACACTATGGATGATCTGCTGTCTGCAGAAGGGAGGGAAGCGCACATGTGTGGCAGGAAAAGGCTAAAGAATGTTGGAAACTTTACGGGCAAGCTACCTGGTTTGAATGGGAATATGGAGGATATGTTGGTTGGACAGAGAAGGGAAGTGTTTAGCAGGAGGAGAGCAAATGCTGTAAAGATTACAGGCTGGCAACCAGATTTGAATGTGAATGTTGGTGATGATCCACATTCGGACATTAAACCCTGTCATTGAATTGAATGTTATAAGTTTTCTAATATAGCTTCTTCTGTTTCTGTCAGTCTTGCGACATAGGGGAAAGCCAAATGCCTGTCCAACATGACTCTCGCAGGGACTATCAACAATCTGGAAAGCGGTTACTTTACCGTGAAGGTGGCCAAAATGACGGTGTTATACCAAAGCCTCTGAGTTTGAATAGAGCATTAGGAAATGTGACGGGTGCTGCAACTGTTGCCGTTGAATATTCTGCAGAACGCAGCGTTCTAAACACAAACAGGCCTGCTTCCTCCGGGGCAAAGATGTCTCACATTATACAAATGAAGGTACGTTGATTTGGCTGGAGGACTAATTCTTCTTGAATCTCACTTTAAATGGATTATTTTGATGCTCTACAACTCTATTTCTTTGTGATTTACTATCTGGATTTCTTGGTGTCCATCTCGGAACATTTCCAGGTGCTTATCTGATTGTAACAGCCTCCATAAATAGTCTCTCGTGTTTTCGTTCTTGTTAGAAATCGATTATTGTTCATTTTCAGTTTAAGCCTTATTTGCATCTACATCATACTTCCGGAAGTAAGATTGTTTGGAAGAAGTGAAAAATGAAATGTAATTAGTGAAACTATTATATTTTGAATATATGCTTTACAGTGCCCGGAGGCACTTAACATGATCAAGAGACTGATAGACGAAAAAGGCCACGAAATCATGCCTTTTTCGTTGAGCGCATGGAGGCAGATCGTGAGCTCCGCTTACAGGATGAATGTATCCGGAACTAATATCCTGAATTTTCAAAAAATTTATCAACGGCTGGATCAAAGAGACTACTACGGAGTTCTTGATTTTGTGGCGGATGTCCAGTTAACGTTTAAATGCGTAGCAGATCAGTATCCGCTCTATTCCCCGGTAACATTTACTTCTCTTTTCTCAGTTTTCCCTTTGAATCTCTGCTCTTAAATTAATCCAAATGATAAGAATAAAAACGCATGGTTAGAAACCGAAACTTGGAACTGAGAAGCATATGCGATTGTTTTCAACCGCAGACAAGGGATGAAGTGCAGAAAGTCGAAGTGTTGTTTTTCGACATCATGAAGAGAATGTTCCGGGATACAGATTTCCAGCAGCTGCAAAACCAAGTTCAAAATCTTGCCTAGCTAGGATCCTTGTCAACACTGTGCGGAGAGAGCCGGGCCGGGTGAAAGGGTAATCAACTGACAGAAACAAGGACAAAGCAAATAATGACAAAACGAGAGTGTGAAAATCGCTAACCCTTTCTAATGTGCGAGATCTCCTACCGCAGCTGTTGTTCTGACCTAGGTTTCTTGCACTCCACGGCATCACAGGAGGCCTGTGGGTTGGGGACTGGTGGGTGTTTACTTAGAATGTTAGCTGGGTCAACACAGTGATTGTTAGTTGAGTCAAGACACAGACTCGGTGAAAATTGCTAGGAGAAAGACAAATCAGTCTTCAAACATTTCAAGCTTGTTCGATACGGAAATCAACGTACTTTTCACTCAGATACTACAAAGATCTGCAGTCTTAAATCGATTGTTCGTTACGTAAAACCAATCAAAGTCGACGTGTTTTTAACGTCCACAACTAATTGATTGGGTTTGAAGCGTTCAAATTTTGCACCAAGGGACCTGCAGATATCATATCAGATGTCTCCATGTACTAGAAGCCAACGGCATCCTGCACTTACTTCGCCGCCGTGAATGCAAGAACAAAACAGGGTGGTCCAAAGTTATCTTACGAATTCGTTCACTTTGACTTGTTCCCGCTGTCGCTCTACTTTTTTGGTTACTTTAATGCTTAAAACAATTACATTTTGATATTCGTAATGTCGACAGCGCTTTTATTTTTGTTCGATAAAAGTGAAGAGTGGTAGAATTTGAAACCTTCACTCACAAAGCCCAAAAAAGGGAAGAATAAAATGATAAGAAAAAGAAATGTCAGAAGTGGGATTTGAACCCACGCCCTCGTTAGAGGACCAGAACTTGAGTCTGGCGCCTTAGACCACTCGGCCATCCTGACCTTGGTGTTAGCTGACCTTAACAATAATATAACGTAATGTGTTTTTAGAAAACCTAGATGGTGCATGTGAATTTTATTTAATGAAAAAAAGTTACACCTAACTAGGAGGAAACAAACCTAATCCCTTATAATATATATAAAAAAAAAAGATAAGAAATACATGAAAAAGAGAAGGGGATTTAAACCTTACCATTTTAGAAACAAAAACAACAAAAATGCAAGGAAAAGAGGGGGGGGGGGACATGAAACCTATTCCCTCTAAAGTCGAACCTAATAGTATAAACCTACAAAACAGATTGAGCTACAACACAAGGTTAAGAAAAAAAAAACAAGAAAGTAAGACAAACATGTATGCAAAGATGCAATGAAAGAAATTTAAGAACTTTTCATATATGGGAAAAAACCTCCGTATTTCCTAATGAGAGAAGGGTATCAAAATAATAGTGCAACTAAAATTAATCATAACATAACAAGTGAATAACCGAAGAAATATTTTTTTTTCCAATTAAGCTCTTTTTTTGGTCGAATTTTTCCAATTAAGCTCTTGAAGTATGTTTTTTTAATACTAATTTACTCATTTTATTTACCATACGAGCATATTAGTCTTTTTTCATTTTTGTTTCCAAAAAAAGAAAAAAGTCTTTTTCATTTTTGGTCAGATTGCTTTTTGAAGCTTGGATTTATAGATTCAGAACCGACAAAAAATTTGTCTAATTGTCTTTGGGATTTTTCTGTATGGTAGCTGCAAGCCTGCAATTATTTAGTTACAAATAGACGGCTGAAAGCTAGATTTTTGTAGTCAATTTCCTCTCATTACCCTTTCATTTATTTACAGAAGAGTTTTGGTGCATTGATGCTATAATTACTACTATTTTATCATATGACAGGGTAATGTGTTCGTCGCTTTGTACCCACCTTTGAAATTTAAACTCTCTTGTCGTATAGAGTAATTTAGTATATCGCTTTTTCAAAACAAACATTCTTTTTAATCCACTATTCACTTAGGTACTCGAAATACCTTCAAATGATATTAACTTTTAAAACAACTTTTCTTTACCCCAAATTTAGATACGACCTTTTCTCATCCCAATCTCCACCCTTGGATCTCATCGATGGTCTAATCCCCTCCAACAAGTCCCGCAAAATCACGGAAGGAAAAGTCGAGAAGATGGAGTCGAAGCAGAGCCTTCGAAGATGATCCATGCGTGGGCAGCATGGACAAAGGCGTCATTTTATTGTGCTAAGAAGGAGAAAGAATGGGTATAAGGAGCTTGCTGTGGGCCCTCGTCATTTCACTGTTGGTGAAGTGAACATTGTTTTTGAACTGGGTTTAAATATACAGATAATATTGATGATGGAAAGACAGAAAAATAGAACCCTTAAAATTTTATGGGAATTCAGATTAACTTCTTGAACTCACAATTGACAGGTAAAAAAAATCTTTACCGTTGGCAAATAATTTCCTGCCTAGCAAGTTACCATGTTTGGTTTGAAAATTTCAACACAAAAAGTTACAAGTAAGCAAAGAAGCTTAATTAGAAGATTTTAGACGCTCAGGAAAAACCATGATATGAATTTCTTTATACACTAACAGCATCTGTCTTCTCGTTGCCGTAGTCCTGCCCGGCCCACTTCTTCATCCGGTCCGTTGTTTGTTCAACCTGCCACGAAAAATTACGATTTAGTATAAGCATTTCTATAAAAAAAGAAAAAAATTTGTTAGAACCACATCGAACTTTTTATTAAGAATTCAGGTGCTTTTCTAGAAAAACGCTTCTACAATCTAGAAGCGATGTTAGAAAGTGCTTTTAAACCCTTCCGCTTAGCAATCTCAGAACACGGACTTAGTATAGATGCCTGTGAGAGAATTGAACTTACCTCCTTAGTCCAGTTGGTTCTGTAAAGTACAATCACAAGCACCAATGTTTGAAGAGCAGTCCCGCATATCATGCCTCCCCAAATTCCCTACAATGGTGAACAGATTTTGGGACTATGATTGTCGAAGACATTCGAGGGAAAAAAAACCCGAGCTAGCTAGGGTTCGAATAGCCAGAGAACCGATCAGATTACAACATTTAGCAGTGGAATTGAAACCAAAATGTTTTACCTTCACTCCCCAATTTGCTACATAGCCAAGAACGATACCGAGTGGAAGCCCGAAGATGTAGTAAGAACCCAAGTTTATAAAAGCCACCAGTCCCTGCCATCCGCCTCCGATGGCAACACCTGAAAGCATGAATCCGGAACAAAGGATTACAAGGGGAAGGAGTCAGAGATGGAGTTGAAAATACGTGGTGGACTGCGGAAAAAGATTACGAGATCGTTTGATAATCATTTCGTTTTCAGTTCTTAATTAATTAATTAATTAATTTATTTTTGTAAAACTAAAAACTGAAGTCTAAAATGGTTATCAAACAAGTTCTAAGTAACTCAATTGTTACCTGAAATAACTGGTTGGACGCTATTGAGAATCATAGTCACTCCGAGAAGAACTGCTAGATTGGAAACAGAACGTTGCAATTCCTTGCTGCTTGTGAACAGGACAGCAAAGTAGTCTTTGGATATCAAGATCACAATCATGCAAATGATTCCGAAGAGCAGAGACTGACCAACCGTCACGTAGACTGAGTATTTAGCTGCTCTTGGACGCCCCATTCCAAGTTCATTGGAGACTCGAACACTGAAGACACGCGAGACACAAATTAAAATCAGGTCCAGAACATCCTTAATTAATGCCTCAAAAGTGTATCTTGTGTTACAAGATTGCACATATGAATCTTGGGCACTTACCTAATAGCAGCATTGATGCCAATGAACAACATTGCTTCCAAACCGTTGAAATTTAAGCTGAAACATCAATTGATTAAGTAAAAAAACTGAGTAAAGTATCAGAATTCGAGTGGAGAAATGAATGGAAATCGTAGGTAAAAACTGACGAGGGCGAGTTGTGGCCTTACCAAATAGTGAGCGAATCAATAGAAAGCACGGCATTACTAAGGTGGCCTGTAACAAGAGTTATACTCATCATATACCAAACCTCCAGGCAAAGCATCACGGCCGACTCAAGTGATAGCCGGACAAACGCCCATATGTCTTTGAACGCCAACCAAGAAAACCCTGTCCACCCTTCCTTGCACCAGTTCATTATGTAAATATTTTGAGCAATCACAGTTTCCCAACCTGTCATGCTAAACGCAATGCCTACACCATATATACCCCAATCGAACACGTAAATGAATAGAAAAAGCCATCCAATGTGTACAACAAGCGCGATGAATCCAATCCACATAAGCACGAGAACTTTGCTTTGAGACTGAAGGAACTTCTGGGCAGGGAAGTTGAAGGCAAGCGAGAACAACTGCGGTATGCAATATCTAGTGAATGTTCCGGCAAGATTAGCCACGTCATCTTCCTGCCCAAGAAGCTTTAAAATGGGGCCGGAGAAGACATAGATTGGCGTGAGGATAACACAGCTCGTGAACAGAATGATCCATGATCTTTGCATGTAAACGCCGAGCATGTGCACACGTCCGGCCCCGAAAGCTTGGCCACAAAGCGTCTCTAATGCACTCCCCATGCCAAGCTACAAATATTTGTACATAATATGCATTAGCCGGTGTGAACATGTATACATTTTGCAATTACGCTAGATGCATAATGAAGTTTTTCTGAGTAGTGATTTTCACACTTCCGTTTTTTTTGTTTTACACTCCTCTCTTTGTTTGTATCTCTCGAGAAAATGAGGAGTGCGACAATCACTTTTGTTTACGCAGTTAGAAACAACAGTGCAATGAAATGATAAGATATGAGAAGGGAGGAAAGACCACATTTTCTTTCTTTTTTAGGTAATGATAAAGAAGGTGCCTCAATTTGCGTAATACTAGTGAGACTAAATTTGTAGATAAAATATATAAACTAAATGATGTGTTGACAATAAAAAATGGACACATTTATCAAACCAATCATCAGCTATCAAGTCATTAAATGTCTATAATTTTAGCCACCTTAATATTATCATTTTCATTTTCTTGTTTCACGGAAATGAACAAGATTACCCTTTTAATTAAATTTACATATTAAAAAATAATTTAAATAGATTTTATGATATTTAAATATAAAACCGTTGAATTATATTTTTTCAAAGAAATTGATTTACCCAGTTTTGTATCATATATTTTCCTCTCACCTTCACGCACACAACCTTTCATCTGTTACTAAATTTTCTCAACTGTGAAAAGAATACGAGATACTTAAATTTAAGTAAGAAATACCAACAAAATATATATGAAAAATACTAGGGAAACTATGTTTTATATTTAATATATGATAAAATTATTACTAGATAATGATTAAATAATTTTGACATTGAAAAAGAAACAACGTACCTAACAGTATTTAAGAAAGGAAGAAAAGTAATGCAGAAAAATGCAAAAGCAAAGGGTTAAAATTAGGGATGTGATATCCACACTTCCCATTTTATTTCTCACACATCCTTTTAATTTTTGACCGGTGGATCGGATGAATTGAATAAGATTAATGAACACAAATTATCAAGGAGTGTATAAGAAGTAAAATGAAATGTGTGATAGGACATCCCTAAAATTAAACAGAAAAAAAACACGGGCAGTTAGAAATTTCAACCAGAAACACATATACAAATATATCATAAATCTAAAAAATATCTATCCTTTTTTTTTTTTTTTTTCTTCTGAAATAAAAGTTTAAAAACATAAAACGGCACCCGTAAATTACGGATTCCCCGTAAATTAAATTAATTTAAAATTGAATACCGAATTTAAAATTAATTAATATATAAATGAAAGCTGAATATTATGAAAAGGAAATTACCATGAAACCGAATGAGAAGGTGCTGATGACGGAGAGAGAGATGGAGACGGCGGAGAGCTCTAGGTTTCCGAGATGGCCGACAAACATGGCGGAAGCAGTGTTGGTGCCAAAGTTGCAGATGATCGTGAAGGCGATGGGCCCTGCAATCTTCCACAGCTTCTTGGTTTCATTCCACGCCACCGACCGAGCATCCTTGAAGCTCCTCACCGGCTCGTAGTCATGGAACCCGCCGGCGCTCACTGCGTGAAGCAGTGGTGTCTCCATTTGCGTATGTGGTTGTTGCAGGGACGCGTGTGCGGCCCTGAAGAATTTGGAGGTGGCCGCCCACCGGAGAAGATGGTTGTTTTGTGTTTTTTGGCTTTTGGTTTGGTAGTGGAAAATGGAAGCACGAAGTTTCGAGGTTTCTCTGTTACTTTTATAAACATGAAAGCTGCACGCTTTACATGTTGCTCTGGTTTTGACTTTTACGCTGTACTTTGACACTTCAACAACTTTTTT